ATAAGACCATCCCCTCTATATATATGAGAGGATCGTGATCGATTGAGTTCCCATCTATCCAATCGTCAAACAAATCAATCTACCACCTCTACTCCAACCCTTTTACTCTCTTCTCCAACCTCCATATTGTTCATCCCTTGATCCGACGACCAAGGATGGCGCTCTAGTCTTGCCGGCCAACCTAGAGCAACTCGGCGACGTCCTTGCCTTGACGGGGCCCCTCCCGGATGAGAGCTTCAGCAGTTTCTTTGCTAGTTTGTCTGAAAACTAGCCGGTTCTTCGTCACACAAGCACGTTGATTATCTTTTGGTGATTTGCTTGTAAATCTCTCCGTTCATCATCGCGAAAGAGTGACATCCTCGCTGTGTTCTTTGGTCCGTAGTGGCCCGGGTGTCCAATGCCCTTGCTGATATGTGATTTGGACCACATCCAACGTCAACAAATACTATATTCATCGTCACTAAATTTCCTAAGTATATCGTCCAAAGTCACTGTTGCGTGCAGCTCACAGCCATCGAGCTTGTTTAGCGCAGCAACGAGCCATACTGTTAGCTGTCCGGTTTACATAAGAAAAATAAATCACATCAAACTTCCTGCTAAGCTCTTGGACATCATCCTAGATGTCGCTGTTGCAGAGCGAGCCCCCTCCTGCGTCTTGAGTAGAGATAACTCACTTTTTTCTCAAATGATGTTTTCTATGACATATTTGCACATGAATACAAAGTTCAGTGACCTCCGATATAATATATACAGTTGCATGAAATATCCTATTGTTTTGTTTTTGTTATATATATGTGCTAAGCACAACAAACCGAGTAGGCTTTCATCTCGAATACAATCACCATGTTCGCTCGAATTACTTTTTAAGACAACGAACAGTGTTTTTCTTTCACATCAAATCAGTGTAAGCATCAGCATAGGCTAAATTTCAGCATAAGCGAACATGTTGAATATATAAGTGGGCTTTAATGTTGTACCGCACTCCAAAATATCAAAAAGAACTCGCTGTCCAATCACTCGATCCAACTACTTTAGTTCCACCGAACGAGCTTCCAAAGTTGCAACCTTGGATAGTTGAACTGCTTTAATTCAGAGATAGGGTCGGGGATAAAAGCAGCACTATGAATCATGAAAGTATGATCTCTTTGCTTAACCACACCCAAAGCAAACCGATATGCCAAACGCAGCACTGTCGACTGTCGGTGACGATCGCCGCAGCCCGCAGGCCGTTGTTGGTGCGAGCGAATGGTCTGAGCGTCTGACTGCCAATGGAACTTTAAAATTGCATGCTATTCACTGATTTGGAACGTACACGTACATCAAGCTGGAAACCTTGTTGTTTGCCATTCTTGGAGCCTGTTGCACTTTATTTTGCAAAATTTTTCAAGATTCTCCGTCACATCGAATCTTTAGACGCATGCATGAAGCATTAAATATAAATAAAAAATAAAACTAATTACATAGTTTAGACGAAATTCACGAGACGAATCTTTTAAGTCTAATTAGACTATGATTGGATACTAATTACCAAATAACAATGAAAGTGCTACAATACCATTTCACAATTTTGCCAACTAAACACTACCTTGGTGAGGTCTCTGTGGATTTGTCACAATCTGCGCCAGGACAACAGGGTCAAGCCAGCCTTCCAAGGGCATGTTTAGGTGGCGAAATTTTTTGCAAAATGCACTGTAACACTTTTCGTTGTTATTTGACAATTAGTGTCCAATCATAGTCTAATTAGGCTTAAAAGATTCGTCTCGTGAATTTTATCTAAAAACTGTGTAATTAGTTTTATTTTTTATTTATATTTAATACTTGATGCATGCGTCTAAAGATTCGATATGACGAAGAATCTGAAAAATTTGATAAAATTTTCTAGAACTAAACTGTACCCAAGTACGCGCCGACCACTTTTTTCTTACAACACCTCAAAAAAAAAACCCGAACCAGCCAAGGACCAGTTTGGATGGCGAAATTTTTTGCAAAATGACACTGTAGCGTTTTCGTTGTTATTTATCAATTAGTGTCCAATCATAGTCTAATTAGACTTAAAAGATTCGTCTCGTGAATTTCGTCTAAACTATGTAATTAGTTTTATTTTTTATTTATATTTAATGCTTCATGCATGCGTCTAAAAATTCGATGTGACGAAGAATCTTGAAAATTTTAGCAAAATGAAGTGCAACTAAACTGGGGCGTCTAATTTGAAACGCCAGACTGTTCAGTCAAATCGAGCACCTCTGACACACGATAAATCGTGTCAGTTTTCTTTCAAAATTTCATCCGCGGCGGCGCGGTAACACTCTGACACACATCAATCAATCAATCGCGTAACAATTTATTAACCTGTGCGGCTTGTTTGCATCAAATGAGCTAAAGTTTAGTCATCTAAAATTTAAGTGTATGAAATAGATAGGCTAAAATTTATATAAAATCAACTATGTTTTAGTTTTGCATCCAGAAGCTCTTTAGTTCATTAGTTGCCAAAGAAAGCCTAACCAGCCTACAAGCTGCAACAGAGCAGACGGAGGTACCCTGCTACTTGTTGTGTGCATATAAAAAAGAACTACATGGCAAGAATTTGTATAATCTTGGGTGGCAAATGTTTAGACCCTGCATACTTGATGAACAACGCAAACCAATGTCTTTTTTAGTCTGTGCATCCAAACACTATAAACTAAACTTTAGTCATCTATATTTTAATTCATCTAAAATTTAGTCTAACTAAACTTTAGTCTTGGATGATCCAAGTAGGCCCTGACTCGAGTAATCAACAGAAGCCGGACAAAAGGAACCGCACACACGGGACGTTATTGACGTGTCGTTCTCCAGTCTACGGCGAAGAAAATTTGTTCGTCTCTATTGCAAGACATAGGTATACATCTACTCCACTCCACACATCACAAGTCTCGACTGTCGCTTTCGCCCATCGGTCTCGTCAAATCTTTGCATTGCAGTGGCCGGCGGCAGCGGCGTGCAAGCCATCGCCAGCGACGCAGCGCAGCTGTCCGGGGCTGAACGGCGCACGATGGAACAGTCGCCACGGCGCATCGCACTCGCACGCAGCGTCGTAAACCACGGGACGGGGCGAACGAACCGAACCAACCGAGCGCACAAACGAGAAAAAAAACAAAGCAAACGGACGGGCGCCGCCACCACCCAACCCGCCGTCTCCTTCCTGCCTCCCCTGGCCTTCGGGTCCGGTCCTTGCCTCCCACCCCCGTGTACCGTCCCACCGCACCGGCCTCGGCCTCCAGCTGCTGCCTCCAACCCCAAGGCCCCAACAGCCGGCACGCCATTTCCTCCCTCCCCGGTCCCCGCTCCTTTGCCTCGCTAAAACCCATCGAATCGACGCACGTCCTGACACTCCTGCTCCCCTGTCGCCACCGCGTCGCGCGCGGGCAGCGCCTCCCCCTCCCTTTCTCGCGGTCGCGGCACCCCACAGCTATCGCCCGACCTCCCACCGCCGCCGGCGGCCTTCTCCGAATCCAGAAGGACGCCCGCTCGATCCGCCGCAGGGAGGCGCGCCCGCCGGGCTCCATCTCCCGGATCCGATCGCCCGCCGGGTGGGTTGAATTCGGTACGTTCCCTTGCGGGTTTTCGATCCGGCCGGTGCTTTCCTTACGGCGGAATCTTCGTGTTAGGTGGTGCGGTTGGTGATGGATTGCTCGTCGTCGGCTTGTTTTTTTATTTCTCCTTTCTGCTTCCCCTGCTTCGAGTTTGTCTGGGACTTGGCGCTTGGCGATTAGCGACCTGATGTGCTGCGCTGCGCGTGTGGCATTTTGAACCGTGTTAGGCGAGATCTGGTGTCAGTAGTTCGCAGATGCTTGTGGTGCGCTGCGTTGGGCTTAGCTCGTTCCCTGTGCCTGGATGAACTAACAGTAGTAGATGTGTTGATACCGTCCCAGGTAAATTGTTGCGCATCATCTGATCTTATTATTTGGTAGTGTTCATATGTGTTCGACAAATGGTTGCCTTTACCATTCAATACTTTGCGTCTTGTGGATTCTGATGTACTGTACTGTGCCAAATATGTTTCATGGCTGAAGATATTATGGGTTCGTGTTCCTATAATGTTTGTGCAGTCAAATGCTTCTCTGATAATAGCTTACCAAATTGTTGCCCCGTAGCTTTTTGTGGCCCATCTTTGATGTTGTTATCCCAGGAATAGGATGCAGGGGGGGAAAATTCAACTAACCCCTAGATCATTTTCTCTAGAGATTACAGAAAAGGTCTCCCTTGCTTTATTTTCATCGAAAACAATGCGAACCAAAGTCTTAATCTTCTAGATCAATTTCTGATGATGGCAGTTGAAAAGCTAAGCATGACGGCCTAATAGCATGAGTGCTGAGCGCAAAATTTCAGATTGATATTTATATGATACTTGGAGCAGGGATATGCATAGTGTCGCTCTTTTTCATAGTATGGAGTATATGTGTTTAAACCATAAGGCTGTGTAATTGCCTCACTCATATTTGGTCCCCATATGAACCCCCCCCCCCTCTTTCATCTCTATAATACAATGAAACACAGCTTTCCTGCGTTTTCAAAAAAAAAATAGTATGGAGTATAAAAGATGGGGCACCCACTTACATGGCAAAAGTTATTCACCCTGTTCGCTTGATCGTATCAGCCATGATACAGTGTTTTTCTCTCACAACAAAACAGCATCAGGCGGCTTATAAGCCACATAAACGATTACTGATAGGAAATCACAACGTTCTTTTTGCTGAATGTGCTTCAGCAATGCGATTGGTCAAGAAGGCTGCATTTTTTTTTTTTTTGGTGGGAATGAGACTCAGGAGCTCACTTGCTCCCATTATGTCATTATTATATGTACCAGACATTTGCATATAATTGTTTCCTTTAACTGCAGTTTACTTAATTATACTGACCTTCTCGTATGGCATTGGAGCCGTGATGCCTCATCCATCTCTGAAGCTGTATAGAATTCATTGCCTGGATCAATGTTCTGAAGTGCTGTCTAACAGGCAGAAATGGATGGAACCGAGCTTGAAAATCCTACTTCTAGAAGCTCATCCCAGAAATCTAGCCGGCGTTCTAGTAGTAGGCGTTCTCAAAAGTCATCTGGACAGCATTCTTTGACCAGTACTCAAGAGAAAAGAAGCAAATCGAAATCTTCAAGGCAGAAGCACTTGGTTATTGACGACGACAAAGAGGCTAAAAAAGGAAAAAACCATGCCCACAAAATTGATGTGGCAGATGAGAGGTCCAATTTTCTAGGTTATGAAGTGTATGCTGGAAAGCTGATTTTTGATAAGAAAAATAGAAGTGTAAGTGATAATAATCAGTTACCATCAAACGGAAAAGCTGATGCAATTGATGCTAGACTCACAAGTAAAGCTCTGATCTGGGGCAGCTCTGTACTCCTCCTGGAGGATGTCCTCTCTGTAAGTTCAGACAATAACATGTGTCTCTATTATTAATTATTAGATCTGTTTCATCACTTTACTGATATTTTGTCTCTGCTTATATTTTGGCAGGTATCATATAATTCGGGAGTCAAACATTTTACATTGCATGCATACCCAACTAAAAAGTCTTTGTTTGGAAAGACACGCAGAGTTCAGAAAGACTTCTGCTTTATAGCCTCTACCCTTGACGAGGCCATTATGTGGGTGACATGCTTTGCCGAACAAAGTATATATGTTAATTTACTACCTCGCCCTGCAGAATCTAGTATCAATCAAGACTCAGACAATCCCCTCAGTGAGTCTTTATTCGACCAGCCACCAATTAAATGCAAATCTCCGCAAAGAGTACTTGTTATATTGAACCCTCGATCTGGACATGGTAGATCAAGTAAAGTTTTCCATGAGAAAGCCGAACCTATATTTAAGGTACTTTTGATGTCTATGCATACAAATTGCAAAGTGTAAACAACTGGTGGTTTGAGTAGCTACGTTTAACTACTTTTCTGATAGAGTTTCTTCTTGAACTTCTGATGAATTTCCTTTTCCAACTTGATGTTGCTAAGCTTAGGATATACTTGTTCATGGCTTGGTTGCAACTTGTTGGATATCTTCTATAATTTCAATTTGTGCATGTGTGAACTGAAAAATCATAGACACCTTCTGTTTTTTGTGGTATTGAAAATATATGAGATTGCCACACTGACAGATTGTTAGTCTCTTTGTCCTCGTGCGACTCTGCAATAATAATTAGTAAGCAACGGAAATAATGAATGCTACATTGGGACTGGAGTGAAAGGTGGTGTTTGATTCATTATGCAATGACCATTTAGTCTCACTCCTCTGGTAGTGGAGTAAAACTTTACTGTTCTAGAAAAAATAGAGCAGTAGCCATTTACAACTGCCTATGTGTGGCATCGTCATCTCTTGAGAAGGAATATAAAATGCTTTTACAGATGCATATTGTATGCCACATTTGTGTTACTAGCTTGAGTTATTTTTTTTGCATATTGTTATGCTTTACTGCGTACATATTTTTTGTTGCTACTTTTAGCTACTACTAATTGAGTGATAAAATTGATGCAGCTTGCAGGTTTTCAGATGGAAGTAGTTAAAACTACTCATGCTGGGCATGCAAAATCTCTTGTATCTACATTTGATTTCAGTGCATGCCCTGATGGTATGAAGATTAATCATGTAGATATGTGAATTATCCAATTCCAATGTAGAGACAACCATTTTAACTGGTCTTCCCTTAATGATACCGTGAAATTTTTGCAGGAATCGTGTGTGTGGGCGGTGATGGAATTGTGAATGAGGTTTGACTTGCTATTCATATTGTAGTTTTTTTAGTCGGTTCATGTTATAATTGGTTAGGGATAATTATGTTATTTGCTAGCTCATTATTTATAGCTCTACAGGTGCTCAATGGTCTTCTCATTAGAAGTGATAGAGCAGAAGCTGTATCAATTCCAGTTGGAATAATACCTGCAGGGTCTGACAACTCACTTGTCTGGACTGTTTTGGGAGTTAGAGATCCTATTTCTGCATCATTATTAATTGTTAAGGTATTCCGAGTTTCAAGTTTTTTGTCAAAGACTGCATCACTATCATTACTGTTGGTGTTTTATGGCGACTTCCTATATGAGAGAGTGTCAGCAGTATTATTTTGCTTACTTTGATTTTGTTCAAATAAGGCTGCTACTAAATCTTGTTCTCATGAGGATAAATTCCTTCGTGACAGGGTGGCTTCACAGCTCTAGACATCTTGGCTGTCGAGTGGATTCAATCTGGGCAAATACATTTTGGCTCAACTGTTTCATACTATGGTTTTCTTAGTGATGGTAACCTCTAAGTCATTTATTTGGTTCTCTCCAGTGTCCAGTGTTTTCAGTTCTGATTATTCTGATGTGTGTTGCAACTGTTTTTACTGGTTATTAGATACTACATTTTACCCTTTTGGAGAATACCATCGAATCACATGTGCCTTAAATAAATACTAGAATTGAGCTTGCACTTTGCTGTGGTGTACCTTTTTGCGATTTATATGTGGAATGCAGTTGTGTTATCAGCTACTAGAGGCAACTCTTATATAAGTATAACATCGTATCCAATTAGCTAAGCATTCCAATCCGGGAGAAATATGTTTTTAGTTCCATTTTTAATTTGAAATATGTTGCAGGTTGGGAACTACGTTTCTACTGATTTATGAAGGTCATCCAGATTCCAAATCTTAAATAAATATGTGATTTGACAGCATGCATATTTTTAAGCCTGTTATAAATTATCTTTCTTTTATAAAGAAATTATATAGCATTATCACCTATGACTATTCTTCATTCCTTTCAAGATCTGAGTACATTCGTAATGAATATTTATTAAAAATCATTTATCTGAATTGGCCACGCTCATAGAAATTTAGTGTGTCAGTCCACTTTCCAATGTTTGCATCGGTGAAAAATTGTGGACATTGTGAAGCTGAAAATTTTCTTACTACTTTGCAGTCCTGGAACTTTCTGAGAAATATCAGAAGAAATTTGGTCCTCTTCGGTATTTTGTGGCAGGAATACTGAAATTTTTGTGTTTGCCTAGCTACTTCTATGAACTAGAATATCTTCCTGTGTCAAAGGAGATGGCCGTGAATGGAAAAGGTACAGATCAAGACAAGACCTACTTGTCCAATGTCTATACTGATGTAATGCACAGCAGATCAAAGAGAGAAGGAATTCCAAGAGCCTCCAGTTTGTCCAGTATTGATTCTATTATGACTCCGAGTCGGATGTCACTTGGGGATGTTGATACATCAGGCAGTACAGTGGCAAGCACTGAACCATCAGACTACGTACGTGGTCTAGATCCAAAAGCAAAGCGCTTGTCTCTGGGGAGAAGTAACATTGTTTCAGAACCTGAAGAAGTGCTACACCCTCAACCACATCATGGATCATTCTGGCCAAGAACCAGGTCGAAAGCAAGGGCTGAGAGAAATTCAGTTGGTGTAACATCTACTAATGACACACGGCTGTCTTGGGCAGCCCCATCAATGCATGATAAGGAAGACATTTCCTCAACAATATCAGATCCAGGACCTATTTGGGACTGTGAACCAAAGTGGGACACAGGGCCAAAATGGGATAGTGAGCTAACTTGGGAGCCTGACCACCCCATTGAACTTCCTGGACCACAAGAGGACATGGAAATGGGAGTACCAATGGAACTTGTGCCAAATTTGGATGAGAAATGGGTAATTAGGAAAGGGCACTTTCTTGGTGTCCTAGTATGCAACCATTCATGCAAGACAGTGCAAAGTCTGAGTTCACAAGTTGTTGCACCGAAGGCCACCCATGATGACAACAGCTTGGACTTACTTTTAGTTGGTGGAAAAGGAAGATGGAAATTGCTGAGATTTTTCATACTTCTGCAATTCGGTCGCCATCTCTCTTTGCCTTACGTTGAATATGTGAAGGTATCTTAACTAATCTGCTCAAGCCATTTCCCAATTCCTTCCAGGTTTTTTTTTGCCTAGCATTTGTTTTCCTTTCTGACTTTTGGGTGAAAATATATACATAGAGGTGAGACTAATCTTATCATATTATCTAATTGGGTATCATCAAGAACTTTAAACTGGATCAATGTCATGTAGTTTTGCATCAAAAGTTGTAAGATGTATCTTCAGCACTTATTGTTGACCTTAATTATTTAAGACCTCAACAAAATGTTGGCTGTTTGGTACCTGTACAGCTTCTGATGGCTATGCTGTGAGGTCTGTGTAGTAGCATTTACATCAGCTCTAGTCATGGACCACCACTGAGAGCTTCGTTAAATAAGAATGTTAGTTTGTTAATGAAGTTGCTCTGTTTTTTTTAGCACAAAAGCTGGTTTTCCTAATAATCCTAATAAGAATACTGATTAGATCTTAATGATGATATTGACACAGGTGAAGTCAGTTAAACTTAAACCTGGGGCAAACACTCACAATGGCTGTGGCATAGATGGCGAGCTTTGCCGTGTCAAGGGACAAGTACTCTGCTCCCTGGTTCCGGAGCAATGCAGACTGATTGGCCGACAATGTAGACAATCTATTTAAGCGCTGTGTTGTTGAATTTCATGGGGCTTGGGTTCTTTCCACATCTAACAACTAATGTTTATAGTGATACTTTCTGATGGGATCAAGCGTGGGTTGGTGTTGCAGATCTTGAGAGTTTGAACCGGACAAGCAATGTTGTGAGGTTTCTGTATATTTGAGTGGTTATAGGATAATATGTTGATTCTGTTTATTTTGTGTTGCGTTTGCTTATATATTCAATAGAGTTCACTCCCCTTTTGGCATGGCGGGAAGTTTGGTGTTTTTGATTGCCCTTCAGTTCATGACTTCGTTTCGCCAGTAATCGTACAAAGTGTACGCTTCGTCCAATACTGTCATGTACTAGGCGGTAGGCCGTGATACTGCATAAGAGTGGGCAAGAGTGGGCTTGGGAGCACTGGTTCATACGGCCAGCTCTTCCACCCCGTTCGGCTGGTCATGTCCCAGCTTGTTTCAGCTTATTCTCCTTCACAGAATACTATTGAATCATCCAGAACCATCCAAAATTCACTGTGCAGGCAACCAGCCGAACACCCTAAACAACTTTGCCCATGTCCATTACACTATTGGGAAGGAGATTGTCGATCTATGCCTGGACCCCGTGTGCAAACTTGCAGACAACTGCACTGGGCTGCAGGGATTCTGGGCATTCAATGCTGTTGGTGGTGGTACTGGCTTTGGACTTGGTTCACTGTTATTGGAGCTTGCCAAGAGTGGTGTGGCCTTCAGATCAACTGTTACTGCTTGGAGCAAATTCTTGTCTGATGCTTTTTGGTGTGTACAGCTAAAAGGAGATGTTGGGAAGTTGCAGGCTCATGGCAATGCAAAACTAGTGGTCAAGAGCAATACTTGCTTGCTGAAATTTCTGATTGCCAAGGTGATCAGCATGAGGGTCAATGAATTTCATTTGCTGGGATCTGAGTGCTGCATTACTATACTGGAGCATCCGATCTTCATTTTCCTTGATAAGATGGATAATTCTTCGGTCATCTTGCCAATCCAAAAGAATGGGAATGATCTGGAAGTTAGTTTACTGAATCATCATTGGGATCTTGCTGGTTCCAACTTCATTCAGTTACTGTTGAAGGCTCTAGCAAGCTTTAATATTTGTGATGGTCCGGAAAGATGGCTAGTAGAGCTTGCTGTGTTGTGCGAGTGCAAGAAAGAAGTGGAGATGCTGCTGCCCTTGACTTCGCCAATTCCAATATTTCCAAATGTCAGAAACTATAATAGATGCATGAGTGAAGCTGATGCAAGTGCTGTTCCAAGCTTTTTGATTGATACAACACTGCCACCCATGGTTCAGTCAATAATTTTTTCTGAGATTTTCCAACCCTTCAGGAGCTTTCAGTTCTCAGTATGGGTCATTTCCATGGACACAATAGGTTGGCTGGTGTTTGACCGAGGGAAATGCATGGAGAACGCCTATGCTGTGATATTGAGGGAATTGTGGACACCGACCCAGGAAATGTTGCAGCATCTATGGCTTATTGTTGAGGCAAGAACCAGTGGTGTTACATCTCACTTGATCCCATGGCCACCTCCTGACAGCAAGATAAGAGTGTTGCAGCTATGTTTTAGATATCTACTTGTTTGTCAAAGTTGGCAGAAAGTGCAAGATGGAGTTACCGTGTGGTGGTATGACATCAAGCTAATAAACACTGCTATTCTCGTTGAGGAGAAGCGCTTGCCTTTGTATGATGAGTTGACTAGCAAGATCAATGTTGAATATATTGCTGGAGGAGCCATCCAGAACTGTATCAGGGTTGTCCAATGGATGCTTCAAATTTCTGGAGCAACAAGTTACAGGAAATGCATCAAGAAGGACAAGTGTGGTGAGGAGATGAAGAAAAATGCTCAAGCTGCAGAAGTTCATGCTCATTACTACACCGATGAGATTGCTCCTACTGCACAGGGAACTGGGCACTAGTTGAGAAGCTAGTTGTTGAGCATGCTACGAAAATGGCGAGTTGTTCCAGATGAGCCTCTCTGCTCCCTTCGTCTGCAAGCGAATGAGGATTGCTGCGATTACTCAAGGTGTTGATCCGGTGGTGGTTGCTGAAACGAAGGTGATGCATCATTGGAGGCTTCCTCTCTCAATTGAAAGGTGATATGATGAAGGTTTGGCGCGGCTTGAGGGCAACCCGCATTTCAAGCGGAGGGGAATGTCATGTACTAGGCGGTGGGCCGTGATACTGCATAAGAGTGGGCTTGGGAGCAGGCCTCGGCCCATCTACTTTTTTCGAAGGGACGGCAAAAGCTTTGCCGCGATTTTTATTAGACGGAGAAATTAAAAATACAAGTGTTCCACCCAGTTTTTTGAGTGGAAACCGGACCAAAAAACCACCAACTGGGAGAGTGCACCACTCATCCCGACCAAATTTAGAAACACCTCCCGAACACCTAACGACTTTGCCCCACTACTTACTCAAACCTGAACCAACTTGTTCAAAAACGGCCCAACTAGCAACACAACTGCACTGGCAACTATCTAACAACTAAAACAACTAACAACATCTCAGCCCTAGAACCAACTAGCAAAAACATCTATAACTACTAAACAACACCGAGTTCCGATGAATACTTCCATCAAACCACTAACTGCTCTTGAATATTTCCATATCACCATTTGGTTAGCTTGCCTCTCTTCTTGTTTTTTTGTTGCCCATCTACTGCAGTGTACATAAGGCAGGAAGGAAAGCTTCAGGAAGCCAGCGAACAAGAACTGAACCCGTCGTCTTCTTCCTTCCGTCAGAACCCTTCCTACTGCTGTTCTCGCTTCCTGCCTCGGATTCCTGCTTTTTCCCAGTCTAGATTCCATCTAATTCTTCCCAATTTGTATCAGATACCCTTGTAATTGCTACTCAGTAGTGAAGGATCGTTAGAAATACGTATTACAGATATCATGATTTGACTGGATCTTAATTTATTTGCTAATAATGCTTGCTTGAACGAATAACAACTCTTAGTCCAAGTTGAACTTATATATAAGTATTCACTTTGATAGATTGTATATGTCAGGATGTGCTCCGAGCTGGTACTAAATTCAGAGCATGGTAAACATCACGACAATATCAATGGGCAGAATCCTATTTTGTAAATCAAAACACATGAGCATCAATGGGCAGAGTCCTATTTTGTAAAGCAAAACACATGAGAAAATCTACTGAATACTGAAATGAACCAGAATTTTCAAACAAAAATGTTGACTCTTATGTTTCTCACTGATAGTATCAGGATACCTCGTCTAGCACGTTTAATAAAGGGCGTATCCAGTGCAGAGAGCTCCCGCTCTATATGGGGTCTAGGAAAATGTGTTAGTGGCAAGCCTTACCCTCGCTTGTGTAATGCAAGGAAACCGCGACTGTTTTAATTGGTTATAAATCCACGCGAGCATTTTGGAGTACATATATAGCAGTAAGATTATTACATATTCTTTTGAGTGCAAGCCCTTTGAGCTAAATCAAACAAAAACATCAGATACAATGATGTAAACGTTGCATTGAAACTTGGCGAACTTCCATTCCCACATGCATCCTTGAGTGTAAACGTTGCATTGAAACTTAACAAACTTACATTCCCACATGCATCTTTGAGTGTGGATGTATTTAACTACCATTCTCAAAAATGCATTCACCAAAATTTATTGTGCCCGCACTAGCGATTTCCTATGAACACCGTATTTCTCATGTGTGCACCGGAGGCCAAAACTAGTTGGACGAATGGACGTCACCCACTTACTTTACCTATGATCAGAGTTTTGTTATAAATAACGTGATGTAAACAAATAGATGGTTAAAATGTAATTTAAAAGACCGTGCAAGTCAAATCGTGCTTTTAAACTGGGGTGAAGAGAGTTTGTTTCTTAATGAACCTAGTAATAAAAGTTGCAAGGATTTGATTTAGAAGCAAAACTAAAACGACCAAACATTTCAGAATGGAGAGGGTAGTCTTACAAGCAACCACTGTATATATACCACGTCGAGAGAGGGAAAAGCCGAAATCGTGGAGGTGCACGAGTGTGAAACCGTGAAATGACACCAATACTTGCGTCTAAAATTCTTGTGACACCAATACTTGCGTCTAAAATTTTCTACTAGGAGTACTTGTTTCTGGCAGCGCCGCCGACGGCCGACGCGCGGTCCAGAACAACCACGAGGCCCGCGCGCGCGACGCTGACCCTGGACCCGCGCAGCCATGTGTCCGGTGCGGCGCGGCCAGGCGTCGCCGTCACGGCGGGTCCGGGTCCGGGTCCGGCGCCGCGCGCGCCCCCTCGTCCACCTCCTCCTCCTGCCGGCCGGCCCCCACCAATCAGTCCGCGCTACGCCTCCCCTGCATTAACCCACCGCACACCGCCCTTGCCGGTCGTCGCCCTTGATTAATCGCGGTGGTGACCCGGTGGAAAGCCACCCCCGGCTGCTGACGTGCCCGCGCCGAGCAGCGTGGCACGCTCGCGCAGCGGGGACGGATCTTGTGGCCGCGCCGCGGGCTTGCGAGTTGTGAGCGGGAAGGATCACCACGTCCTGTTACTCACTAGCTACGTAGTAGCCCTGCTGCTAATCATTCATCGCCGCAGTTTTCTGGTCTTCCTTCGCGAGGGTTGCCGAGTTTGCTTTGTACTGTTGCTCGAGCTGATCGCTTTGCGGCTCGACGAAGAAACCACCACCAAGGCCTTTTAACCACGTAGACGTTGCGTAGGCAGCTGGAGTATCCCACGCGAAAACTGGTTGTTAATCGTATCGGATTACCACTTTATAACTTACCTGATCTGCTAGAACACGCATGACCTGGGAAGTCGGAAGCGACGATGAATCCCTTTTCTTTTCTTCCGGGACCGGAAGTGAAAATTTCACTCATGGATACATCGAGATAAGCCTGCTCCCCGCATGCATGCGCTAGCTAGCCAGGAGGCTAGATGAGCGTACTTATCATCTAGCCTATCTAATCTTCTTTAGTTATCCTGTCGTTTTTACGGCCGGTACACACCGCGCGCCTACCACTGCCGGTAAACGCAACACGACACGGGCGAATACGAAACGGCTTTGTGGCACACCGCGCGCGCGCGCTCCCGGCAGACCACCCGATCGACTGCAGCCGAGTCGCGGCCCCCGGCCGCCGCAACGGGACAAGCACGGCGCGCCACCTCGACCACACCTGGCGCCGGGTGACGGCGACCGCGTGCGGCACGCCACGCCCTTCCACCGGACCACCTGTTCCAATTCCAATTGCGCCCGTCTCCGTCCGCGCGCCTGGCACACCACACCACCTCGCCCGCGCACACCTTTCCGCCGCCCATGAGCCGCTCGCCGCCCTCCCGTGCCGTCTGTGCACGCGCACGCGCCATTCCATCCAGTTCTTGCCCACGCTCGTTCCCGGCCCCCTCCGATCGGGGGTGAAGAATATCTGGGGCTCGCGCTAAACGCACGCGCCACGTCGGTTGCGGATCGCGAGGCGGCCGGACAACCATTGGACGACGGGCCACACGGCCGGGATTCCGGACGGTTCTATTTCATCTCATCAACAAGTTTAGGGTAAGGAACTTTGGATGAAGTAATGCGAATGGGTGTAAGCCTCGCAGCTCGGAAACACCCAGTGCTGACGTATGGGTCCCCCGCCTTACCATCTGTTCTGTTAGACCAAAAATAAAAAAAGAAGAAAAATAGAAAGAGAAAAAATAAGTTAAGAAATGTAGTAATTCTTCTTTATTCTTCTAATTGATTGCAATTAAATTCGGCTCAATCTTTTCTAAAAAAAAGTAAATTTGCAGGTTTAATTCCTGCTGGATGCATGCGAATTGTTTGACCAACGAAAGCCTCACTAGTTCCTTTCGCTAACGCTCGGCTAAGTCGTCGAACCCTCGCGCTGACCATTCGCTTTCTCAGTAGCAAAAGCGCTTCTCTTTGCCCCTTAACTTAATCTTAATAAAGTAAGTATTTGAAAAAGATTAAAGAATATATATTATATTAGAATAAATGGGCAATAGTCAGGAGAGGTGCGCCAGAAGGTAAGGTGGACAGACCACAACAGTAGGGGTACATTTGATCCTTAATTGACCTAGGAGTTGTTCCCGGGCGACTTTACAAATCAAAGCGGGGGATTGGGGTTCCATCGTTGTCATTTCCCCGTCGTTTCTAGACAATCTTATTTTTCTGCACATAAAGAAATAAGGAAGTCCCATTTCTAAATCAATGGTTGGTTCGGGACCGGGACGGTCCGTTTCCAAAAAATGTACTTTTCTCGACCTTTTCGATTTTTGCCAATAAATGACGAGCTACAAAAGAATTCGTTTTTTTTTTGTGTCACAGCTGATTACTCCTTTTTTTCATTTTAAAGAGTGGCATCCTCTTCTTCGGACTTGATGCACAAATAGATAGAACTTTAAGGTGTATGAAGTCTCATAGTAAACTCTTGCAGCGGAACGATAAATACTCCATTTCACTTAGGTTGATTCGAACCTAAAGCATGCAGATAAACTGGTCCTATATAACCAAACTAAGCTCGGAGCGAGCCAGAAAAAATAAGTCACTTGGACGGGAACGGGAACAAAAGCGGCTTTGCTTGCCTGCCTGGTCTGTGGTCTCACAGCGCGCGGGCACTACCACCGGTTTCTTTATGCGCAATCGCAAAGGCCACATGTTCGCATCGCCGGACGTGGACACATAACGCGCCGCGCGCGGTATAAAATGGGACCGAACGGGACGGGAGCCCGGAGTTGTAGAAGGAAGCGAGAGCGAGCCGCCCGGCTGGGAGAGCTAGGAAGAACACACAGCTACTAGCTAGCTAGGATCCAACGATCGATAGATCGATCGATCGACATGGACAGGCCAGACCATCACCAGCACCAGTTCTTCATGCCGGCGCCGGTGCAGGTAGCGCAGCCACAGCAGCAGCAGCAGCTTTGCGTGCCGATGATGGACGAGCCGTCGTCGTCGTTCTTGGCGGGGATGGGCGGAGGTAGGCCGTCGTCGTCGGCGAGGGGGGAGAGGAAGCGGCGGTTCACGGAGGAGCAGATCCGGTCGCTGGAGTCCATGTTCCACGCGCACCACGCCAAGCTGGAGCCCCGGGAGAAGGCGGAGCTGGCGCGGGAGCTGGGCCTGCAGCCGCGCCAGGTGGCCATCTGGTTCCAGAACAAGCGCGCCCGCTGGCGCTCCAAGCAGCTCGAGCACGACTACGCCCTGCTCCGCGCCAAGTTCGACGACCTCCACGCCGGCGTGGAGTCCCTCAAGCAGGACAAGCTCGCCCTCACCACACAGGTAGCTAGCTAGTAACTGTGAACCTCCGCGATATCTGATTCTCTGAACATATACCCTTGCTCGATCCAAGACTGATCAAGTTTGCCAACTTCTTGCTTGGTGCGTGCGTGCACGACCAGTTGAACGAGCTAAGCGAGAGGCTGAGGGAGCGGGAGGACCGGGCCGCCGGCGGCGGCGCCGGCGCGACCACGGCTAGCAGCAGCAGCTGCAACGGCGGCGGTGGTGAGGAGGCCGAGGCGGAGGACGACAAGAGGAACGTCGTGCTCGGGTGCGTCAACAACATGGAGCCGCCGCCCGAGAGCTGTGTGCTCGTCGGGTCGTGCGCGACGCCGGCGGACGTCGTTTCGGTGGAGTCCGAGTGCGACGACCACCACCACCACCTAGACTACGACGACGGGTTCCCGGAGTCCTACTGCGCTATGCCGGAGCTGTGGGAGCCCTGGCCGCTTGTGGAGTGGAATGAGGTGGCCTGAAATGGAGAAGCTAGCTGGTACATATAGGCTCAAGGCTTGTGTGTGTAACGTGCGTGCATGCTGCCATTTGCCCTGTTGGTTTAGTTTATAAGTCATGTTTTTTTTATCAATAAAAAATATTTTTTTCTAACAATAAATTAGCTAATAATATTTTTAATTATAACTTATCATCCAGCGAACGAGGCAATGGTTTGCCACGGTGCTCTCAACAGAATACGAGAGAACGGGCCGCTCTGTGCCAATGGCGGATGGGGCCGGGTAGTGGGTCTGGAGATTCGGAGCGCGATCGAAGCGAGGCAACCTTTGGAGGCAAATCACCCAATGACATTACTGTTTTCGATTCTGCAAAAATTGATGGGATTTGTTCAGAGGCGCCCACGGTGGTAGCTAGTTGCACGGGCTTGCAGTTTTGTTGTTGTCGTTGTGTATTCGAGGTTAGATAATCTAATGGAAGAATGTTCGCTTCACAAATATGTATTGGCGTGTACGTATATGCCTGCTTGCAAAGAGGTTGTGATTCTGTAGGGTTCTCCAAGCGCGTCGATTATGTTTACTGTACATTTTAATGTAGTCTCGATATTCTTTTTAGTCAAATAATTTACAAAATATAGTCCAATATTTTACTGACCAGGAATTGCAATTTTCGTTTAATTTTATGTTGGACTTCCAGAAGTAAATAATTATAATTAGAATCTAAAACGGTAATTCTTCGAATAGGGCGTCCGTCTGCGCCAGACGCTCTAGATGGTGGGCCGCTCATGCCAGTCTAACGACCGCCTCTTTATGTGCTCATCTACTCATCCCCAACTGTTCTAAAAAAACTCATCTCACCGCAGCATCACAATAGGTCTCCACACGATGGCAACTGCGCTCCGCCGCACCGCCTCGAGTGACCGCGCTCTCCACCGTGCCTCCGCTCCGCCAGGAGGCGTCTCCACCACGCCGGAGCGCAGCAGCCGATCTTTCTCCCTCTCCACCACACCTCTCGCCCCGCCGCTGCCTTCTAGAGCGCGTGACCCGCCGCGGCCTTCTCCACCAGAGCGGCGAGCTCTACACCGGTGAACTCCATGTGTCGACTAGCCTCCATTCCGAAACAACAAGAAGATATTGCGCTAAAACTGCATATTGCAAGCGTATGTTTTAAGTGTTTCAGATGTTTCAGAGGTATGTTGCAAGTGTTTTATGCGGATGTTGTAAAAGTAGATCGGGATGTTGCGTATGTTGCAAGTATTTCAGAGGCATGTTGCAAGCATTTGTTCAAATTGTTTAATCTATTTTAGACGTATGTTGCAAGTGTGTCGATCTGAATGTTGCATATGTTTCACACATATATGTCGCAATAGTATGTTCGAAATGTTTCAGTCGTTTCAGTCTTATGTTGCAATAAGTGTTTTCATGTTTCTTGTTGCATATGTTTCACATAAATGTTTCAAGTGTATGTTTCAAATATTTTATTTGTTTTAGATGTATGTTGCATCCAAGTGTTTCATATTTCGGAGCTAAAGAGCCATGGGGCATGGCCCGGATGCCGGGGGATGGGGCACGGTGAACCGGGGCCGGCAGAGGGCGTGCAGGGGGCCAACGGTCGAGGTGTGCGGCGCACCTAGGGTCGTGCGGATAGGGCATGCTCGTCCAGTCGTCCTCACCCTTGCTCCTGGGTCCTGCCTGTGCGGAGAGAGGAGGGGGGTTCTGTAGGATCTTTGGAACTCCTACAGGGGGGTGAATAGGTTTGTAAAAATTTAACTCAAACTGAAGTCAAATTCACCCGCGGCACTACCGCTCTATGAGCGCGGCACTGCCGCACCTGTTGGAGAGATTAGTTCACAGTTCAAAATCTACGCAACGAAATTTAGATTGGGTAAATTTCTTAGCTTCCTGCAGGGTAATAGATCACAGATCGATAGCTGAAAGTGGTGGGAACACCACACACAAGTAGATCAGCCTCAAACTCTAGAAATCACCTTAATCAATAATATGTCATGCAAGTAATGTAAATCAAGCACAAATGATACAATGATTTATCTCGTGGTTTGGCTCGCCACTAAGGCTTTCCTACCTCCACATTGTTGAGGTTAGCCACTAAGGCTTAGAGCTTTTCAGCCCTTGCTCATTCTCAAGTTAAGAGACTTAACTCTTGAGATGAGGGGTGAGTTTACAAGCTTCAAGAGATAGTTACAAACCTCCCAGGGCTACCACACAGTTGGCAAGCTCCACGAGTGACGCTCTAGTCAGCTAGGAGCCAAGCTCTAAGAGTAACAAACACAGCCACCGGTCAAAACATGAACCAAGTGCTCTTTAGAGTTTGGAAATCAATGGAGCTGCTCTCTAATCGAGTTTGAAACCCTTTTTCCTCAAGGATTGGTGGAGAAATCAATGGATTTGATTAAGGGCTGGAGGTCAACAATGGAGTGAGAGAGAGAGCTCCTGCTCTGTTTTGGGCGTGCTAAAGTGAGAAATCAGAGAGCTAGTTACCATTGAGGAGGAAGGGGAAGGTATATATACCCCCAACCCACAACGGTCACTTGAATCACAGTAGCCGTTGGAGAGGAAAGGGAAAGGTATATATACCCCCAGCCCACAATGGACACCGCACCCAAGGGGTCAGGCGAGACAAAGCCCGCGGCCTCGAGGTCGGGCGAGACGAAGCCCACGACTAAGGGGTCGGGCGAGCTAGAGCCCGCAACCAAGGGGTCAGGCGAGCCGAAACCCACGACCAAGGGGTCGGGCGAGCCAGAGCCCACGACCAAGGGATGATCGGGCGAACCGGAGCCCGCGACTAAGGGGTTAGGTGAACCGGAGCCCGCACCCAAGGGGTCGGACGAGCCGAAGCCCACGGCCAAAGGGTCGGGCGAACTAGAGCTCGCACCCAAGGGGTCAGGCGAGCCTCTCTTCAAGTGCGGCAGTGCCATACCACGCAAGACAGTAAGGGTTATAGTGAAGTGTAGACTATCTTGGCTATGAATCTGAGGATGCATGTGGTTGTTTGAGCACTTGGTAGCATATATTAGCTTAAGCATTGTGTCCCCCTTTATAGTACGTCTTTTTCTATACTCAAATTTAAAATATAAAAGAATCTTAAACCTCTTTTGAGTTTGAAGCCATCTATATCTGTAATTGGGGGCTCCTCCGTTTCATGTAGCATCCTCGAATATAAATTCCCTACTTGTCATCTCGATAAATCTTGTTAGTTCTCTAATTGCGTGGTCATTATCACCAAAACCCACAATTAGGGCTTGATTGCACTTTTAATCTCCCCCTTTTTGGTGATTGATGACAACCCAATTAGAGCTTACACAAGATATGAAATAAATACTTAGATTTTTTAAGCCATGGGTGTAGAGCCTCCCCTAAGTATGTGAGTAGATAATTGAATTCTCAAATTGGCATAAGAAGCCAAGATTCACATTTTAGTGAAGGTGATGGGCCCCCCTACATCCATGCTCCTGTGGGGTGCTGCATACTGTGTCAGGTATGTAAAACGTGATGCAAATGACAGTTTATGCACAACATGGTTTGCTGTTGCAGCTGGGTGCAGCACTGCCGTACTTGCTATAACAGCACAGATCAGAATAGACACACATAGCATGTGATACATATAAAGATATACATTCTAGCACGATTGTATCACAAGCTACAACATAGATTAATATATGTCCATATCTCACACAAAGAGTCAAATAGTAGCATTATTTCACAATTTAGAGTTTTGAGCGACTCTCAAACTTTCCACCTAGCGAAGACTAACACTCATCGAATAGGACATGAAATGCAGCTGCTGACCATGGCGTCAAAAAGTTGTTGACCCCTCTAATTTTCTCCCCCTTTGGCATAAAGCACCAAAAAGCGAAGAAAAGAAGAAAGATCAACACCTACTCGTCATCTCCCTAGATGTCTGTCCAATCAGTATCATCATCTCCTGCAGCCCTAGCACCTCCTGCAGCAGTCCCAGCACCACCATCACCATCATCGTCGTCGGAGTCAATACGTGCACGGCCCTGACGGTGAGTAGTGGCGGTGTAGCGAGTGGAACGCTTGGGCTCCTGTCTTAGACGGTATCCCTCCAGAGTCTCATCCGAATCTGCTGCTCGTCCCTGCTGCCCCTCCTCCTCATCATCATTATCATCTGAATCTATGTCGGAGAGACTCGGAAGGTCATACTGTGGAGTAGGTGGAATAGGAGAAAGTGGTGGAAGGTCCTTTCCACGCTGCTAACACTGCTCAAGCTATGTCTCATACGCTCTGTCAGCTGCATATGTGCACTTGCTGAAGATTGCCTTCAACCACTTGTCAATCTTCTTCATCTTGCCTCCTCTGTGAGACCTAGAGCGAGAAGACTCAGAGATATCTACATGAGCATGAGAGCTCCCTGCTCCCTGAGTAGCTACAGTTGGCTGGGTCTTCTTAATTTTATAGATGGTGTGCATCCCATCCTTCGAAAAATAAAATTCAGTGACCCTCTCAATTATGAACATGAGGTATGGGGCATATGGCAACCTCCTCCTCCCATCCTCCACTACAAATCTCAACTCAGTCCATATGAATCTAGGGACATTGAACATGTTGAAGGGTCGAGATGGCGGACTAGAGGGGGGGTGAATAGTCTTTTCTAAAATTAATCGCGTCGGCTAACCGATATAAATGCGGAATTAAAACAATCGGTCTAGCCAAGACTACACCCCTCTATATATGTTCACTAGCACCTTGCAAAGATACTAATAAAGCAACTAAGGTGCCGGGCTAGCTAGAGCTCTCCTAAACAATTCTAGGAGCAAGGTCACACAAACCTATGCCACTAGTACTTTAAGTAACAAGGGAGCTCCTACACATGCTAGTAAGCAAAAGCACAAAGCTAACTAAGCTCACTAGCAATGCTCAATAACAAGGCAACCAACGCCTAATTAGAGAGCGCAAATACTTAGCTACACAAACTAAGCAATGTGACTAACAAGGTTACTAAAACCAAATTAGCCACGCAAGGAAGCTACTTCTATGCTACACAA